ACACACACACACACACACACACACACACACACACACACACACACACACACACACACACACACACACACTCAAACACACACACGCGCGCGCACAGTATTTAGAATGATTCAGTCAAAAATATTAATGTTAGAGAATTTTCCACTGATATAGTCTTAAAAAAAAAACTCTAAAAGAGAGAGGAATACTTCGTGTAACTACTTATAAGATGCTAAGATAAGCTGGATTTAACAATGCACAATTCTCCTAATTTTTAGAAGATTCTTCTGGCTAGAAGTATTTGTTTTGTAGTGATATGTACATTACTTCGGTAAAAAGTGATCAGTAGAACATTTTTTTTATGTGTTTGTCCTAGAAGTTCTTAGTTTTATATATAGACAAACAAAAATTAATTTTTATATATTTTATCTTGTTAAAAGAATAGTTTTTCCCAAGTTAAATTACAGCTTGCTCTACAGTTTCTCTTAAAAGATGAATATTACACAACGTCCATGAAATATTAAATACGAATATTTTTTGCTAGGAATAATAGCGTCATAAAATGTCTCTTTACACTTGATTATGCTTTGTTTTCTTTCCATTATCAAGAAAAAGATATATGTCAACATTTCTTTACAATTGCGCATTGTGTTTGTGTGATAATGTAACTTGCAATGCTTATAATCATAACGTATAAAATAGGACGTAAAGAAGAGAGAGAAATATTCCATAAAGCACAGTTCCGAAAACATTTAATTGTAACAACCTAATTCGAAGAACGTGTTTTTTTTCCTATTGTTTCTCAAGGGATTAATTTCCTATATTTTTAAATACATAGAATTGTAAAGTATTTAATACATAGATGGGATTTAATATTACAAGGCAAAATAAAAAAGATAATATATTAATTGCATAATTTTTTTCTTTAGGATAAAAACAAATTTTTGTCCTAGGATTAACTATGGTTCTAATACATTTAAAAAAATAGCGGTGCCTGTATAATTCTCACCGTATATAGTCGGCGTTAATATTGACACAAATATAATATGGATTTAACACCATGGGTTTTAAATCCACATCATGTTGATATTAATATTAACATCAGTGAGAATTACATAAACATCTCTTGGGTATTAAATTCTCATCAGAGTTAAATCTACACCGATATTTTTTAAAGGGTATAAAATAAGGTTTGATTGAATAAAATCTCAATTAGAAAAGTTGCGAATATAATAATAATAATATTATTATTCAATATCAATATTCAAATCGATATATAATCCGAATGTACAAGATGTTCTAATTGCGCTTAAATTTAAACTATTTGGAATATCTAAAGTACATCAATAATTTCATGTATGTATTTTTTTACGATTTGCGAAAAGGCAAAGTTCAAGAACTAACTCGAGCTTAACGGAGAGATGAACTCTATGCGTAATTGGCACGCGCGAACTCTGTAGCAACATGATGGAATCGTCAAGGTTCACGTACGTATAACGTGTTTTCAACGACAAAGAGCGATTCACTAGTGGTAGTTGAAATGGAAGGGGCCAAACAAGCGTGCCGATGGATTTGTCGGTTGGTCGGTCAGTATACTCTTCGCGATGGCTGCATCAAGTACCAACAGCGTCATCGATATATTAGAGAAACTCCTGAATATCCTTAAAGAGGAGGATGTATTCAATCAATCTCAAGATCAATCTGTGATACGATTCTGTTATCCTCATGATTTACAGGTAAATAATAGTTCAATTTTCTGGACCAGCAGTCGTGTAAAAGTCTCGAATATATTATTATAACTTGTTATTACATATGACTTTTACAAATATTTTTTTTTTAAACTATTTTACGTCTCAATTTACTTCGATCATAATGTTATATTTTTCATATTTTGTGCTCTAAATTATAATTTTATGTCACACAATATATTTCTATTATTTTTCTCTTTCATTTAATAAATAGGGATTAACAATCGTTTACCTCGAAGAGATTGTTTATATAGTTTATTAAGTGAAAATCGATTGAAAAATGTTAAACATTAATAAGTGAAGACTGCAGAGTTGGGAAGTAACGCGTTACTTGTAATATTGTTTACCTTGTCATAATAATGATGTTGCAAATTTTTTATAACGATAACGGTAATACCAGAGTTGGAAAAGTCATTTGTAACAGGTTGAAAAAAGTCATTTGTAACTGAAAAAAATAATTCCTAATTTGTAACATGTTGGTTTTTTACACGTTACTTGTAATCAGTAACATTATGCGTTACTTGTTACTTGTTACTTTTTTCAATAAATAACGCTTAATCGTTACTTGTGACAAGTTACTTTTCGAAATGACTTTTTCAACCTTAGCACAACCTTAGCGTTTAGTTAATGTTACCGTCATAAAAAATTGCAACGTCATTATCAAATTGTTTATTATTAAAGGTAATAACAAAGTAACAGAAAATAACGTTTTCCAATTTTGGACTGAAAAAAGGTCATAAACGGTTTTAGTGTCTAATAATATAATATTTTGATGTGAATTTTACAATTTTCAGTTCATATAAGCAAACTCATATAATTTACTAATAAATTATTAAAACTAATATTAAATAATGTATAAAGTTAATAATTATACATATAAATATAAAATATTTAGATTTAACTCGAACTTCTTCTTTTCTTGATAAACTAATTAAACGAAGTTTTATTATGCCAGCTGTAACAAGTTCGATAATATTTTTGTTCCTCTAGGAATAACATCGTAATTCGCACATCAATTAGAAAAAGATTGCCCGCTTTATCTTATTTCTTAATTGCTAAATTTTGCTTTAGAAATACTTCTGTTTGTTTTTTTAAACGTTCTTTTTTTAGATTACGTTTCTCTTTCTTTCGCTCTTGAACGAAGTGTTATCTTGTTTGAAGATTGTTCTTAAGCATTTCAGAACAAGATTAATATAATCAAATGCGTAATAATACCGTCAGTATAACATTAATATTAATTAAAAAATAATAATGCCACAAGTGCAATTATATCATAAAATATTATAATAAATATTTGCTTCATTTTTATCGTACATCTAACTTAAATGCTTCAACGATTTCTGATGTAACGCACGTAGACAGTAATAATGAATTCAGGCAAGGGAAAATATTCCATGGTGCACAAAGAAATACTTGCTCATGGAATATTAATACGATACGCAGAAGTTTGTGATATACAGAGGCAAATCGATAAGTACCGTTGTTTCAAGACAGGCGGCGTTGCTGATGCAAATTGGCATTACCATCGTGTACTACCATTTTTCAAACGACGCCATACAAAATTTCAGAGTGATTTATGCATTAGTCTTGATTTCACAGCAATTCGTAATGAGCTAGAGGCCTACATACCAGAGATGCGACATGTGTCGGTTGGGTTAGGTCGCCATCGGCATTTTAATTCAGTATAAGTACTTGTAACCATAAAGTGCCTTTTCATACTGACACTCGACGCTCGTTTTCAGCTGTTTTCAGCGTCAAAATAAATCACAAGATCAAAATTGACGCTTGATATTCGCCAATTTCTATCATGTGTGACTTATTTTGACGCCGAAAATGAGCGTCGAGCGTCGGCATGAAAAGGCACCTTTATAGGCTGATGACAGCTGATGCATTACATGAGGAAAGTTAAATTGTTAGAAAAAGAAGAAAGTATAGTATGTACTTATAGTATGTACTTAATAGTATAAACATTATACGTACATACATATTAGACTCTATACGTAGAGTCCTAGGACTCTAATTATACGCAGTATGAATTAAAATGGCGCTCTGATCACGTGATTTAGACAGTAAATCAGACCATATCTTTCAATGCATCTCTGTTATCTAGGTCTCTAGTGGATGCTTTCCAATTGCTCAACACATCTTAACACAATTGTACACAGGAATGGACAAAGTGTAACGTTGTGCACAATTCAATTGGAACAGAATGTGTACGCTGCGCACGGTTGAGATTCGTTTCGGATGGAGTTAGATTAAACGTAGTTTTTTCCGCCTGTATTAAACAAAAAAAAGTAAAAGTGCCGACCACTCAACGTCTTCCAATCTCATTTATAGCCGCCGCAGTTAGTAACATGTAATTGTCACCAGAAAGCACAAGTTTACACAGCCCTCGACTGAATACGGATATATGTAGTGTTGTGTCGACGATAACGGACAATTGGAACGCAACTTGTGTCGCCGTGTACACGAAAGTGATATTACAATTGGAAAACAGTAGTGAGCGTGTTTGATTTCCGATACAATGGAAAAAGAGCAATATCGATCCGTGATTTGTTTCTTATTTTTGGATGGAAAAACGTGCGAAGAAATAAAAACGAAGTTGGATGCCGTCTATGGGAACTCTTCACCATCTATGACAACCGTCAGATATTGGTTCAACGAATTCAAACGTGGTCGTTCGTCTGTTTTTGATGAGGAGCGCCCAGGCCGCCCGGCAGACGTGGTTACTGAGGAAATCGTTGAAAAAGTCCACGACATGATTCTCGCTGATCGCCGAACGAAAGTGCATGAAGTAGCAGAGGCCGTAGGCGTGTCGTACGGAACGCCATTCAATATGTTGCATGATAACTTGGGAATGAAAAAGCTGTCGGCCCGATGGATGCCGCGATGATTGCTTACGGTGGACAACAAGCGGATGCGGTTATCAATTTCAAAGCAGTGTTTGAAGCTGTTCAAGCGCAATCCGAACGAGTTTTAGCCCCCTGTGACTTCTTGTTTCCAAACTTGAAAAAATGGCTCGGTGGAAAGAAATTCATGTCGAATGAGAAGGTCATCGCCGAAACAGAGGCCTATTTTGCAGAGTTCGACAAAACGCATTTTTCTGAGGGGTTAAAAAAATTGCAGAAGCGTTGGGAAAAGTGTATCCTCCTAAAAGGGGATTATATATGTTGACAAATAAAAAAAATTTTTGTGAAAAGCTTGCGTCTTCATTATTAACACGGGTACTTATTGATTTGCCTTCGTAGGTATGGGGTCAATGTTTGCAGCTCTAATCGGAATCTTCACCAGACAAATTATCGCTTTCTTTTTTAAGAAACTTTGACATACCATGATAACATATCATTCTTTCAGGAAGTTTCCTTGTAAATAAGGATAGTATAAAATAAGAAATATTTTAAAATACAAATTAACGAGTTTATAAATTCGTATTTTTGACGTTTTAATTTATTTATATATTTTGATACACACACACATACCACTCATTACAATTTTAATACATTTCAAAATTCTCAGGTAGCAGGCTGTTATTATTTGTCATCTATTTGTCACTACCTATACCCAATGCTGTTATTCAAAAGTTTTAAATCAATTCAACACGTGCATTGTGAAAGAATTCTAGTAATGTTACTCGCTTCGTATTTATGGCTACGTTCCGTTATTCACTGTGAATACTGAAAATACGTGAATTATATATACTATAATTATATAATTATACAATTACAATTATTGTGGGTACCGAATTATATAACTATAATTATTGTTTGAATTATTCAATTATATAACTATATTATTGTGAGTACTGAATTATATAACTATAATTATATATAATTCAGTACTCACAATGAGTAACGAAACGCAGCCATTGTGATATCGTAAAAATGTGTAAAGTAAACTCTCAAGAAAGAGTTATTAATAAAAAAATAAGCTGTTTATAACAGGTGGAATATAACAATTTATAAAGGTGGACTCATTTCATGTGCGCGCGTGCGTGCGTGCGTGTATTTTATGATTTTTTATGTTTTTTGTATTAATTGTAAGTTTGATCCAAATCAAGCGAGCAAGTATGAACAAATGTGAATGAATAACTTGCATTGTCAATTATATTCTATGACGTAAACTACAATTTGTTTAAAGCTTAGAAGTGTTAATTTTAATGAGGAAAAGTTATTTTTTATCCATAGAAAATCATACCATTGTCTTTGGACGATAAGCCAACGAATAGCTGTGAATTAGAAACAGTGATACGACAGATTATACAGTTCTCCGTGAAAACGTCTAGTCCACATTTTCATAATCAACTCTACGCTGGAGTTGACGAATATGGATTACTTGGCTCCTGGTTAACGGAGGTGTTGAATACCAGCCAGTAAGAATAATTCTCAAATTTTAAGAGATAATTTAAAATAATAAACAATGTATTCTCCATGCTCGTTGAATGTGGATATTCTATCCACCTTTCTCGATAAAACGCAATGAGTAATCAAAGCTATTTTGTTATCATCTCGTGAGCGTCAGATATTGCTAATCTAATTTGCATTTCAGACGATGCACGACCTATGATATTTTCAATTAATGATGTATTTAAGTTCTTATCATCGTCGAGGAAGTTTTAGTTTTGTTAAAAAAATGAAAGTTAAATAACTTCTCTTCGATAAATTATCTTTAGGAGAATGTCCTTCATGTAGTTGTAAATGATGCTGTGTGCATATCTAAATGACGTGAGATACAAGTAACTGTTAATTGATTGCGGACGTTTTTGTTAGGTATACCTACGAAGTCGCGCCCGTATTTACTCTCATAGAGCGAGAAGTGATACAGAAATCACTGGAGTTGGTTGGCTATCCGTTGATGCCAGAAGCCGATGGTATAATGTGTCCAGGTGGTAGCATATCGAATATGTATGGAATGTTGTTGGCTAGGCACAAGATATTACCATGTATCAAAAAGTCGGGGCTCTTTCCGTTGAAATCATCTCTAGCGTGTTTTACTAGCGAAGATAGTCATTATTCAATCCTGAAAAGTGCTAATTGGTTGGGTTTTGGTACCGACCAAGTTTACAAGGTATGACAACGTGAAAAATGGCTATTTCAAGAAATACGCTATATTTTAATCTTCTTTCAAGGTAAAATCGAAATTTGAAGAAATGGTAATTAATTCTTATTTCAATTGATAGTTGGTTGTTGAATTTTATATATTTTATATGAATCAGATTTTATGCCATTATGCAATTACATGTTATTGATTAAACAATATTAAGTTAGACTTCAAAAGACTAAGAATTTCATCTTGCATTCAGTTGCAGCAAACGACGATAGTTGTTATACACGCAGTATAAAATATTTCTTATGTTTATAAAATTTTTTCTTCTACAGTATTTATTATATTTATGAAATATTTCTTATATTTATAAATTATAACATCTGTTTCATATGTATTTGATGTTCAATATGTATTTGATATATAAAAATTATTAAACTATAGCAATTGACAATTAGCCTTGGCTCATAGTCCTTTTTAAATTATTTTAGATTTCTATTGTTTAGTAAATACTAAAAAAGATTCTTCAATCTTTGAAAACAACTAGATTCTAACTGGATTTTTAATAATCATAATAATTAATTATACGAGAGAACGTTCTTTCGTTACAGGTAAAAACGGACGAGTTTGGTTGCATGAAAGTGGCTGACTTAAAGAGACTTCTAATAAAGGCGAAAATCGATGGAAAACAACCGTTCTTTGTAAACGCCACTGCCGGAACCACTGTGCTCGGTGCCATCGATCCATTATCGGAAATCGCCGCAGTATGCCAGAGCGAGTCACTCTGGTTGCACGTAGACGTCAGTACAAATATAATGAAAGCCGATTAGAGCTCAGAGAACCATAATTTAAACAGAGATTCGTTACAGGCATGTCTCGGTGGAACCCTACTGTTCTCGGAGAAATATCGGCACAGATTGTGGGGCATCGAACTGTTCGTATATAATTATTTATTATAATGTCGTTGCGGAAGGAAAGTGGCGACCTTTCTAAAACTGAAAGTCCATCGTTGGTTCGCATCAGTCTTGAGTATAATCATTGTCTACCTGATTTATTTTCAAGCGACCGATTCCTGTTAGGATGTTCAGGCAAATCGTTAAATTTCTGCGTATTTGAAAGAATGGAATAAGATAAATACTTTCCCTTCTGCAACGTTAAAGACCAAAAATGATTTCCTGGCACAAGCAGTTTTTCTAATCAATTCTCTCTGTTTTATGACTGGCTTAGATCGGATTCGGTGTCCTGGAATCTGCACAAGATGCTCGGTGCGCCGTTGCAGTGTTCTTTATTCCTGGTCAAAGGTAAAAATACGCTACATGAGGTAAATTGTGCCCAGGCCAAGTATCTTTTCCAACAGGATAAATTTTACGACGTTAGTTGGGACACAGGCGACAAAAGCGTGCAGTGCGGCAGGAAGGTAATCACATATCTACTATTTAATTTTTACGAGATATCACGTCGGAATTTATTCACAATAATTCGTGAATTATAGAAAGATCTAAGATTTTTGTTTAAAAATAAAAAAATAAATAAAAAAAAATCTGTAAGAAAGATACTTAAAAGTAGAATATAATTTTTATGTCATTACAAATTGGCCAAAAAAAATCATTATTAATTACTCGTTTTAATTCGTTTGATAATACTTTTTAAGGTCGACGCAATGAAATTTTGGTTAATGTGGAAAGCTCGCGGCAAGATTGGTCTTACGCGATCGGTGGAACAAGCGATGTCCTGCGCGGAATACTTTCTGAACCGAATTAAGGAAACTGCCGGTTTCCGGCTGGTGCAATCTCACTACCAGTGTTGTAACATTTGTTTTTGGTAAGAGATTCCGCTTTGATAAGAGATTATCGAGAAATACGCAGTTATAAGGCAAATTCTTTTCAGGTATGTACCACCAACAATGCGCAATGAGAATGAAACTCCAGATTGGTGGGAGAGACTGTACTGTGTCACGGTCGAAATAAAGAACCGTTTGATTATGGAGGGATCTCTCATGATTAGTTATATGCCATTACCACAGAAGGAGATTGGCAATTTTTTTCGCATGGTCGTAAACTGTCAACCACCACCCACAAAATCGTCCATGGATTATGTTATTAATCAGATAGAAAAAATTGCGATTGATTTGTAGGAAAATGCCTGTCTGTTCAAGTTGTTTTATAATATTGAAGATATTTGTTCTTATCTTATATGAAGAAATTGGTATTTTAAGTATTTTTTATACGGAGTTGTAAAAAAAAATCTTGTCTTTATTACAAACAAATGCGCGAAATAAATGCAGCGGATACAGTATTTATTACTCGCGTAAATGTGTAACTTTGATAATCATAATTTATTTAATGCTCGGTAACATCAAATTATTCGTTATTACGTCGTTAGCTCACATATAGGGTTACTAACTATTTTTAAGAGTACATATATTATGTACTCTTTTTTTTTTAAGTGAAATTTCTGGTCATTTATTAAAATTTTTTATTTATATAATAAAATTATATTAATAAACATCAGTAAAAATGTTTTAGAAATTTTATTTTATTAAATATCTACATTTAATGCATAAAAAATTGTACCTTCTCCTTTTGGATCTTTTTTTAAAAAAAAGTACATAATATGTACTCTTATCTTGTGATTCAGATACAGTAATCCTACTCGGTATCATTATCTCGTATTCTTCTCATGACAGATTGTATAAACTCGCGCGGGAGGCAATTAACGTAATTAAATTCTTAAGTTTTAAGGCTCGATTCTCTAACTTACTCATAACTATACGTATACGTAACGTAGATATCTGTGTAGGTATAGGTATCTATATATATATTATATAAAATAACGAAGGTTTTCAAACGTTCGTAACTTTGAATTTATGCATACGATTTTCTTACAAGTGATTAGAGAATCGAACCCCTGGAGGACATCAGCGATTCAAGTTTCAATCCAATTTGATTCTCTCCTTGGATACGGCAAGGAAAAAATGTATTATTTTTACAGTCGCATGCATAAACATAATTCGCGGGCGCGACTCAATGTGAGCCAATATAAATGCAATCGTCGCGCGACGTGTGTTTATCTCTTACATAGTATACGCTATTTGCTTCATTCCTAAAGCTATGTTTAAGAAGATGCATTTTTATGTACAACTCCGTATCATGGCACTACATTACTCAATATAAAATTCGATATTTCTCCTGAATAAAAACAAAAGAGACGAACTCTCTTCCTAATATATGTTCAAGCAAACCTACATAATACATTTTATATTTGTACAACTGTATATCTAAATCAATCCATCAATCCTTGGTAGATCGAGTCTCCGTTTAACAGATACGGTTTTCTTTTCTCTCTTGTTACCTTGCATGAGTACAATCTTACAAATATTATACGAAATATATGAAAATTCATTCCTATGAAAAATTATGAAACTTTATACAGATGAGTCAAAGTCGAATGCCCAAGCGTGAGCGGGATTGATTCTCGATTTCGTCCATTCGCATTCTTTCTCTCTCTCTCTTTTTTCACGGATATGTACACAGAAACAAAAATAAACTTTTATAAACTTCCTCAAAACAACGATTTTCTCTTCGGAGTCCGCTGAGTTATCACATTGCACGACGCATCACAAAAAGCTTATAAAATACATGTCTTAAGACATAGTGATTTATAAAAAAAAATGTCATCATGTCTCTTTCAAAACATACATCAATACAATTTTCATCAATCGATATTGAACAATTTCGTGAACTAATTTGCGTCGTTAATTGCAGCGTCATTAACTCTCAAACGCGGAAAATGCATACATCGCGCGTTTACTTAATACTAAAAATATATAGTCTTATAGACAGGCTTGCTCAATCGATCGTATGTCATTTTTACGTCGAAGATGTCACCTTAGCTCAATTAAGTAAATACATTCTTCCTGTAACAGGAAGTCTATCCTCACACTTGTTACTTTAACGTTGAACAAATGCTAATCGATCAACAAAGTTTGCAGCTGCCAAATGCGTGGAATGAGTTCGCATTTGTTGTCGGTACCTGCGACTCACCGCACAAATAAATCACACGAGAAATCACGTGCTTGAAAAGACCAGAATACAAATCACCATTCAAACAACTCTGATACGCGACTTTGCTCAGATAATTCGTTCAGTAGTATTTGTCCTGATCGAGATCGGCACGGATGTGCTGCTGGCCATGACTGTTACGCTTCAGGGTGGCGGATTCATAATCGAGACTCTTTGGATATAACTTGGGACTGCCGAGGCCGTTGACATTGGGATTGTTCTTGCTACGTAGAGTACCGTTTCCGTTAGTGCTGCCTGAAAAACTAGGCTGTCGTTTCGCGTTCACCTGTAAAAATTAGCTTCTTTGAAGTATCCGCCAAGCGCAACTAGCAATCGAATACGCTTCTTTGAGCCTTACCTCCTTCAGTGGCACAATGACATAAGAATTCTGTTTACTGATATAATGCGGACTCCCTGGAATGCTCGGCTTGCGTCGCTTCAAGTAGCAAAAGCATAACACCGCGGTTAAGGCCAGGCCGATGGTGAAACTGATTACGCAGCCGCCCACCGCCGCGCCCACCGTGACGCCCGAACTCTCTACGCTCGAAGGCAAGGCGTTTACGTCTAAAAAAATATATGCAATGTTTAGTAATCTTTAATCAATTAAATTGTTTAAAATATAAAAGCACAAATATCGTATTTATAAATATATCATCCTATAGACGCCGTAAAATTGTTCCAAAATCTCACCATTATCCATGCAGTCTGCAGGAAGGCAGTCGCGTGTCTCACGAGTTAGTCCTTGACACATGCCGGGTCCATGCTGAAGACATGTTCGCTTTCTATGCTGTTGATGATCGCCGTCGCAGGGAGTCCAATATGACCACGTGTCCCAACCAGCTAATGATTCGCAACTGGGCATCTCACAGACTTCCTTGTCCAATCGTGGACCGTTGCAACTCTCTGGACCGAGACATTCTCTCGTCCTCGTACGCATTCCGACGCCACAAGTCGTTGAACATTCGGACCACTCCGTCCAGCACGACCATTGACCTTCCGCCGTATTGCCGTGACATGAGTGTGAATTGCAAATTCTGCTCTGCGTGGCGAGACCATTTTCGCAAGGTGGCGATTCGCATTGTCTAACCTGTAAAAATGTATAATCATATTTTTGTATTATATATTAAAAAACTAAATATATTAAAATATTTTGATCACTTTAAGATAAATTATTTGTTCTCCATTTCACAGAACCAAAAAAACTCTTTTGCGGTCTCATAATACTTTATTGCATAAAATGAACTTTATTTTATAGTTTTAAATAAATTTAATTTTATTTTTAAATAATAATTTATAATCAAACAGTAAAAATGTTCGGTTTCCAAAATGCTTAATAAAATGATATGATTTTATTTTGGCCAAGATTGTATCGAGATAAAACTACGAAAAATACTTACCCTATGCTGGGTACCCTTTCCACAAGGACGATCGCACGAGCCCCAAGAGGACCATTCCCCCCAGCCATTCTCGTTGATGGACTCCGCGTAGGTATCCTTTCCTCTGAGACAAGACCCATCGTTCCTGCAGGAACGTTCCTCTTCTTTAGTGAGCTGCACTCGTACACTTGACGGATCGTCCGTCTGCGCGCGGCAACTAAATCGGAAGCGCTTTTCTAAATAAACCGTGCTGTCGCTTTGTAAACTAGAGTTTACGGTCAACCAAGGAGTCCATCCGGAATATCTTTTCGTTTCTGCGCATTTGTGATTGTTACATTCCTCAATCTAAAATACATTCGGTCTCATCAAGCAATTCCTGCAATTTCTATTCGGCTATCAAGAAAGGCTACAAAAAAGAAGAAATATTTCTTTTCACAAGATATTTGAAACTTACCTGAAAATCGCATCCTGGACATTCAACACCACCCTTCTTTGGCGAGGGACTGTCACAGATTCTCTTTCTCAGACGTATTCCTATAAAATGGGAATCGCCAATTTTATACCAAGAAAGCATGAAATACTATTTGTATGTTATCTCAGACAGTACAAGTATGTACAATTGTAAATTCTTATTTTTTTAAAAGTACTTTACAAATGTTTTTTGTACTTTGGATTATCCAGAATTATTACCACGACTACGAGGATATTCGGAGATACTTACCACCGTTGCAAGGCCGTGTACACGCATGCCAAGGACCCCAGATCGACCACTGACCAGTTTGAGGCGGTGGGGTGGTTTTAGCGGGGGCAGGACAGGGCGGTAGATCGATGCACATGATATCGTCATGATCATGCCCGACGCAAACGCGTCCACCGAATGCAGGTGCTGGATTCGTGCAAGTCCGCCGACGGGTTTTCATCGCGAAACCGCAGGTCTGAGAGCACGCTGACCAAGCCGACCAAGCGGTCCAACCGCCATGGACAGTGCAATTTGTTACTCTAACCCGTGTACCCGTGCAACTCTCGCCACCGTGCTGTGGTGGAGGATTATTGCATTCCCTGGTTTGACATTGACACGTGTCGATCTTCTGTAAATCAAATTTTCAGCTTATAAATTTCACGACTTTACGATAGAAAAGCTTATAATCGAATCGCTTTTAACAAAAATAAAATAAAATATGAATTTCCAAATTTTATTATATATATTTTATAATAAAGAAACTGTGTGTATATATATATATATTTATATATATATTTCTGAACCTGTGTTAAATTCAATCATTTATGATCAATTCCGTTTGCGAAGGAAAATATATTTTTTATATTGCGATAAACATAATAAATATATATGCTCACAAACCTCTGCGTGTTCGTGCAAGTGTGAGTGAATGTGACCATGTCCGAGCGACTGTTCTCCTGTGCCATGTTGGCAGGGTGACCAAGGACTCCACGCACTCCAGCCTCCGTCAACAGGATCGGTAAGCACCGGACACTTGGTGACTTCCTGATGCCAATGATTTGCCAAATAATTATATTGATAATTCTGTTTCGGTGCCTCCGCGCACTTCATGAGAAGCTCGTTCCACCCGCAATACGGCTCTTGGGCGTTCAAACACGCTTGACGGTTCCGATGACGATAACACTGAACAGCAGGTATGCTAAACGACGGAAAGCACGATGCGGTTTAACGAAGCATTTAACACTAACAATATTTGCTGTTTATGATAATGTATATAATTTACGATTAAACGACATCTATCTAGAATGACATGATTTAGATGATATTATCAGTATCATTTAGATGGCATTATAGATTTATTTTTATTTTCGACAATGTAATGTCGTTCACAAAGCTGATAAAATGTTGCGGTTACGATTGGAGTAGTTGTCTTACCGCAAAAGGCCAATTTCCATGCCAACATAGAGGCTTTGCGTGTCTTTAAGGAACTGTAATGTCATTGGCGGTGAAGGTAAGGGTCCCCAAACTTCGACAATGCAGGTCTCCTGTGTCCTAGGCAAAACCGAGATCTTCTTGATTAGACCGGTTGCCGTGGCGACATAGAGGACGGTCACGCTGCGGTGTAACTTGGTTGGAGTAACGTCCACCGCGATGTGGGTGAATCGTTCGAGAGTCACGGTGTGCAGCGGCTCCAGCATCGTACTCTGCACTGCTTCATCCATCAACTGGTATCGTTGATTGTCCATGATCTGATGCGGCGCGGTATCAGATGAAGATCCGCAGCGCTGGCGATTATGATGGGCGACCGGTCTCCTTTCCCAGGCGGCACCCGCGTTTTCTTGATACTTAAAAGGCCCGTTAAAACTGGTAACTATGGCTGACATGTTGAACGCGCAGATAGCCGAGCCTGCGATGCCGTTACTGACGAAGGAAAAAGATTTCATTTAATGGAGGTTTCTTCTTTAAGAAATCGCAGCTTCCTTATGCGAAAAAGCATTCCGTTGTATTCAAGCGATAAAGAACGTTAAGACGGAAGAATTAGCGACTGTGCATAATGCTGGTAAACGATGGACTTCAAATAACTTAGGTCTTAGGATATTAAAGATAAATGGCTCAATGATGTAAATTTCTAACATAAAGCTAATAGAGATGTGCAAATTATTCAATTCGAAATTTTTAAATAGTTCAAATTTAAATCTGTAGGATTAAAATTTAAACTATTTGAAAATTTCAAATTTAAATGTCGAATACGATTTACATATATTGACAATTTTATATATAAAATCATATTTCTCACTAATAAACAAAACAAATAAAAATTGTTTTGTTTCGATATTAAAATTTAACTTAACCATAATTTTGATATTGATCAAAATTTTGTTTGAACGGTTTGATTTAATTTGATTCGATTTGACGTCAGAAAATCTCGCACATCTCTTTTATATCAGGAAACTTAACGGGCTACGTAAAACATAAATAAAATTACAAATTTTTCGCACGACTCTTCCATAAATACTTCATTGTTTAATTAAAATTAATCAATATAATATTGCTTTAAAATAAAGTCTGCGTTGAGTATCTCATAATCAATTTGTCATTTACCGTCTCATGTATCCATCTGGGATTGTGCACAGACATAAACACAGATGATAATTAATGCGCCTTTGGATTAATCGGTCCGATGAATGATACTCACATGGGAGTTGTGAAGGTCGCGTAAATGATTCCCTCTTCTGGATGATAAGCCGCGCCTTGGATTTCATCGTAATAAAATGGGAATTCGCCGAGAAGAGAACAATTTAAGCGGGCCTTACTGAAAGTCGTCCACACGTCTTTCATCATAATTTGTCCACCCCGGTCGTTTTTACAGACTCTTGCTATCCTCGAGTATATTTTCTGTAGCCAAATATTGTAATGTACGATTAAACTTTAACGAATATAAATCTCACTAATTATAAAAAATTATCAATTAATAAAAGATAAAACACTCAAAAATTAAAATAAGATATTTGAAGTAAATGCTATGTGAATCGACGCGATGATACGTACGTAATTAGATTAATTAATATAAAATTTATTAGTAATTCTATATATATATATAATTTGAGTTACATAATTGGCAAAAAATTAGATCCGACAAAATTTACATTTATATTAGAATCTCGGTTCCGAATTTGAGCCATTCTCAGCAAAAGTAATATCAGAAGGCTTAATGAGTGTTATGTTTCATATTTATGACTCGGATTACTGAAAACATAGCACTTAAGCCTTCTGATATTACTTTCGCTGAGGTTGATTCAAATTCGGAGTAAAACCGTTCGAATATAGTTGTAAGTTCTTGGATCTAATTGTCAGTTATATATTTGTGTGTGTGTGTTACTTACTAATAAATTTTATATTAATTAATCTAATTATGCATCACTAATCGCCTCGACTCTTATACTCTTGTTTCAAATACTTTATTATAAAAAATTATAGATAATTATAAAAAACAATGTATTATCGTACTTGATTAGTTTGATAAAAGACACAAAAAAAATCGAAAAAAATGCATAAAAAGTATCCCTTTAATGATGTTTCAAATACCTCGTTGACTTTTTTGATACTCGCGACACGTCGTCCAGTGAATTAAATCCGCCACGATAAAGCGAAGTTCAACCTCGATCACGATCGAGGTACGATCGCGCTCAGCCGGATGCAGAGTGTTTCATTAGAGCTATCCCTAGACGGCAATTTGTGCGGCGATAGGTTGAGAAAATGATAAACATCGCGCGAACTAAGATCATGTCAGGGATGATAATTTTTCTGCCGTGTGAGAGAGGAAGATCCGCGACGCGCGTCGCTCGTTTCAACCAACACCGTAAACGGCTAATTATACGGCTGACGCAAGTCAGAAAAGACAAGATCGCTAATCGCGCGAATGGCTCCTCGCGTGTTCCGTGTATGATGGAAGACGCGCGCTGGCGCGCGCGTCACGGCGAATTACTCTGCGGCATCGATCTTACCTTGCCACAGTTGATGTATTCTACGGCAGATTCGCGAAATAGAAAGTACACGTGATCCTCCGTCTCGAAGCTGCCGACGAACTGCGGGTCGTTCAGCCACCTAAAAGGAAAGCGCAAACTTAGAGAGAACGGGATTCAAGCATGATAAATATCGCGAGACGATAAGCAAGACCAACAATCTTGTAACGCGGTTATTATGATAAAATTAATCTCGTTTGTTTTTCAGTATAACTGCAAGAAGAATTTCATAAGAATTTCATGGAAAGAGAAATAAAACGAGTTGTAACAAGTTGAGTGTAAAGTTAGCGACATTTTTCAAAACTGATCAGTTCAACGAAAAAACTCATATTCTCTCTCTCTTATTACAAACTAGAGACTCCCTAATAAAATTCTGGACATGAGAAAGTCTCTTTTGATTGGTTCGTCATGTTTTGCTAATTCCCGAGAAAATGAAAGAAAGAGAGAAATAGATAAGAAAAAGATAAAACATAATGAGAAAGAGAAATAAATAGTAAATGTATATCCTTCTCTCTCCCGGAGTTTTGTTAAAACTACTATACATCCTGCATACAAAATTGTGACCCGTGTCCAGATTCTTATTGAGGGATTGAAGGGTTTCTACTGCAAACATACATGGAATCGTATTGTCGAGTCCTGAGGTTCGGGGAGGCCAACGTTCTGTAGATCGCAGGATCAGCTCCGGAGAAATCCGTCCGCGCACCGGCGAAGAGCCCGCCGGAAGGACCCCTCGAGAGAAGTGCCGTGACGTTTGCATGCGGCGAGTACGGGCACATAGCCACGCCCGACATCTCGCTGGTCACACTCGTTATATTCTCGATCTACGGTCATAATTGCTATTGTATAAAGACTACCGTATTCAAGTGGCGCGACTTTGTGTCGTTCCAAATCGGGTGTTAGACAGCTAACAATGGTGAATATTCATTGACGCGTCGAATCGCGACAAGCTGCGATGGTTCACAACGAGGAAAAAACATTAGGATCCGAAATGAAGATTCTGTTCGCCTGGACCAGATCGGACAGACTACTTTCGGAGAACGTACCTCTCGCCAGGCGCACCACGGGCTGAATGCGTAAGTACCGCAGGTGAAGAGGCTCTTGCCGTTGCTGAGAAGCACTTTGACGTAATTATGACAATCCTCGACGCTCTGGCCCTTATTCTGACAGGTGTTGACCTTGTCCTCCGGCGCAGACCAGGAGGCGTGTTCCAAGTCCGTCAGCGACGTCAGCGTCAAGCGGTACAAATTATCCCTGAAAAGACACGCTTTATTTACATTTTCGTCGGCGTGCTCTTCACATGTCATTAAACGTCCCGTATGAAGGCTGGTCGCTATTAACCCATTAAAGTCCACTGGCATTGCCACTGGCCATTTCTACTCGTCGCTTTTGCGACATTGTTTGTCAGTAATATCTTCCGAAGCAAACTTCTTCAGTATTTTATAACCGATGAAATAAATTAATTCCGGATCTCTTGAAAAATCGGTACTGCCATTTCTCGTGGAATACGAATCTCGTGGAGAGAATTATAAGTTTATTGGTTCATAAATAGACTTTCGTGGCTTAAAGAATATTCGTGCAGATGGATTTCATTAAAGAGTTACTGGAAAGACTCATTGAAAGTCACAGAGCAACCGGTAATCGAGAACGTGAACGGCGATATATAAAACGTATCTCAATTTTAAATCGAGGAAGAATAACCATGACAAGTAACAGTGACGAGTGGCGAATAACGACGATAGCTTCCTTTATACGACATATAACGCAATCAGTAAGGTCGCCATAAGCCACTTAGAGCACCTAGTCGGTTTTCTATCATTTCTCTTCGAAATATCAGCACGATTATGAATGCTGATATTCATGAATTCCTCAATAACATGATTCATTATGCTACTCCAATTATCTCCTTATCTGTGTATTGAAACGTGTTCTACATATCTAAATGAATGTTAATATTGCCGTTAATATTAATGCGACTTAAGAAAAAATGTTTATGTTAAATGCGCTGTGATATATTTCAATATTGATAGAAGAAATAGACGATTTATTACTGTCAGCGTAGACAGTAATTGTTGAACGAAAGTCCTCGTGAAATAAATTAAAATAATTCTCTTGAGTTTAATCTTTAACATTCAAGTGTATATCTGCGAGAGATAGAAAATTACGCATTAATAGATTTCAACTTAAAGATTTAATAATCTAATACTTCGTATGCAACAATAGCCTTGAAAGCCCCTTTATAAAAAGACGCGAACGAGAGAAAAATCGTCTGTAAGTCAAGATATAACTGACGCGAGAATTGTAGAATTAATGATTTATGAGGGACGGTCGAGGACTGAGGACGTCCTACAGCGAGCCGATCGGAAAGCTGATGGTTTCCTGTGAAACAAACGTGCGCGCGGCTACCTTCCGAGGAATGCGACCGCTTGCGAAAGGTGACGTGACGAGGTGCCCGGTATCTCGAGATAAAAAAAACCTTGAGAGGAGCGTCACTCGCCGTGCGTTTCATTCCGCGGAGCGTTACGACCGCGTCTCTCGCGGTCGATCTCGAGGCGCTCGCATGAGGCACTCGTGGCAGTCACGAAGGCGTACTCGGGTTTGACAGCGGCTTCGAGGAGCCCTCGAAAACTCCTCGGACGACATTCCACGGCAGCCCACTTGACTTCAATGCGACGTGTACTCACGCATATGTACGCGAGTGCGTATGGCGCTTCGCCACTGAGTACGCAAGAAATCAAGCGATCGCTTGGTGTACCCGTTTCTCTTTCAACGTAATCGATAGATTCGACATTTCTGCTCACTAGTGAGGATTTTCGACTTTATCGAGAAACTTTGGATACACAGAAAGAAAGATTTTGCTAAATTATCTAAAAATTTAGGTAGATACAAGTTTAAAAATAATTTCGTTGGACCATCGAAATAATTGTGTAAGAAATTGGAGCGTAATAAGCAATGCTGCAAAAAATTTGCACAAAAGTTTTGGCATTCTAGCAATCACTTTGGGCCCCCTACATAATTATTTTGATAATCTAAAATTATTTTCAAATCTGTATTTAGCTAAATTTTTAGATACTTCAGCAAAACTATTTCATTCGGTGTAAATGTTGGATGAGAATATGTGGAAGTTTCCTTCGCTCAGAGAGTATCGATATGTTATTATTATATAATAGAATGTCATATTTAGAAAGCTTGATTTACGGAAAAATTTCTGATTATATCTTGAAACGTTGTTATTAAACTTCATCACGGGATAGTCAAGCCTCAGCTTTATAACGCGACTGATAGATTTGTATGCTGCGATTTTTATTTACCATGATAAAAGCGGAAGTAAAACTCGTGTACGCAAACGCACGGCATTAACAAATCTGGTGCGAGAAAACCGCCGGAAGACAGCGATCAACAGTCGCCTCGAGAAGCTCGATAAATAAATTATCATCGGCTTATAAATAACGCGTGGAGATATGGTTCACGCGTGATCGTCCGCGTGTCTCTTCTCGGCAAGGAGAACGACAACGACGACAACCACGACGATCGTACAGGAAGTACAGACGGCAGTCGAAGCAGTCATAGATAACCACTGGATAACTCGACACTCGTCTACTATGTCTCTTTAATGCCTCTTTCCACTAATGTAGATTAACTTTAATCTCGGTTCAACTTACTCTTCGTCTTATTCTAGTTCTAAAGATTAGAAAAAGACGAAGAGTAAGTTGAACTGAGATTAAAGTTAATCTACGTTGGTGGAAATGGGCATTAGTAGCGACGCAGACGACCTTTTTTTCTCCGCTCCGGTGACGATCGCGATATATGAAAATGAACCGCTAAACGCGCGATTGCGATAGCAATTCCGCTACTTTGCGACAAAAAAAGATAGATTTTCAAAGTGGGACGAATTTTATTATCCCGTGCGGCCTACATATCGTCGTGTCAAACATTGATTCCAATAAAAAATTGATTGGATATTAAAGCTCCTGACTAGTTAGCCACAAATCTTCAGATTAATGAATCAGAAGCGAGAAAATATAATAAAAACGCTTACAAATTAAAATAAAAATTTTTTTTTCAATAACAATATTTGCATTTGATAGAGTATACTTGTATATAAAAATGAGTAACATGTATCGAAAACTTTCTTTTCATTTCGAAATAAAATCGAACCATATTTATCTCGATATATTATATAGATTGTTTCATTTTCTGAACATATTTCAATTTTAAATATATGGTTATTTATTGATTACCGGAGCACAAAGGAAATTTTCGGTGTACCTTACAAATCTAATCTATTGATTGCAAATATTGTTATAAAAATATTTGCATTTTAATATGCAAGAAGTTTTTAATGTATCTTTGCCTAACTTCACAATACAAGATGATTGCAGTGAGTAAGTAGAAACCTTAAAGTAGAAAAAGATTTATACAGAATTTAAATAGGATATAAAAATTTCGAAACATCGTGTATAAAATGATTCTAATAATAATTACAACAGTCTTAATAAAAGCTGAGCATTAATTTCAATTGATTTAAAAAAGTTTCTTTTCTTTCTAAAAATTTACTCTCTCACTTTCAATAATCTTCCTATTTTCTAACGTCACGAGCAAGATGAAGAAGTGATCTTCAAGGGACATCGCTTTCACACGCATGTATATTGCGTGCGAATACAAATGCCTGTGCACTTCTTCATTAGACTGCTCGATAATTGCGCGTTCCATGCTCTGCACAGACCTTTTGTCAAATCGATAAACTCAATTTATTCATGATTGCCATGCCGCAACTTGCAATCCATTGCGCTATGCCCGACACACATGCATAAACGTCGTCTGTGCTGCATTCTATTCGCTGCTCCGGGGGACTGTGGTCCCGCGGCATTCATTGGGCTTCTCTATCAATCCTATTCAGCCATTGGGTTAATAGTCTTGATCTGCCATATTGTGCCTGCAATACGGAGTTGTCCCGCATTTCCTTTCACCAAGGAAGAGAAATTTCTTCAAAAATTTGATTTAACCATCGACTATTTGGTATTCAACTTTGAATATTATATATACATATATGTATATAATATTATATTTTAATATATATAATATGTATGTATATATGTACATATAAATATTTAAAGCTAAGATATTAGAAAAAGCTTATTTAAAAATAAGTAAAAGTACATATTATTTAATTGTAATCCTTGTGATTCTTAATTCTTAAAAACTCATAACTTTCAATCACTGAACGTTGATCTCTTGAAATCATTGACACCCCGATATTTTAATTAACGATTAATAAATAATTCTATTCTCGCTTGAAAAGAATGGAGAATTATGTGATATCCAATATATTAATCCGCGAACCTTTTTCTTCCTTGCACCGGCTGTTCTAGAACGGCGACGGCGATGGCGACAACGGAACTCGCAACGAAGCATAAACGGCGCCTACGTGGGCGCTCGTGTCGCGGCACCGCGTGATAGTTCGAGCAGGTAATTATTATTTAAGTGAAATACATGAGTGCGGGCAGGGTACTGGTTGTGAATGCCAATTAATAAGCCAACATGGCACGTATCCCGCCGGATTGCTGATCTATTTGTATCGGCAACCTACGTACGGCAATGGTAAAATCCAGTCACATATGCATGGACCAGGGTGCGAATTCGCCGAAGGGATATCACTATTTCTGGTACGTTACGGGCGAGACACGACACCACAAGGCCGTCGGGCGCGACATGGGTGAATTATGCCACATGGGGAAAAGAAGCCGACGCCTTTCAGAGTCGAACCAGGGAGAAAAGAGCTGCGGATAAAGTAAAGTTACGCCTGTAATGTAAGAATCCCAGGTGCTCTCTCGCGAATTTCTAATTAGCCAATGAGGAATTGATATTATCTTGCCACAGTTTGAATTGGCATCACATCATTATCCTTTTACTTACTTATTCTTGTGTTTTTATTAAATTATCTGTGCTTGCATTGTCAATGAGTCTAAATTCTGCGTGAAGACTAGAACATCAGATTCCAGTGCTCGTTTTTTTGATGATGTGTAGCCTAAGGACTATGGCATATAGAAAATCTTAATCAATAAGACATATAAACACAGTAAAGACATCGACACGTTGGATTTGCTACTACTTATGTTATCTCAAGATTTTTACTGTGATGACTAATTCATTTACTGCTCAAGTTTTTTCGTGCCATGATCCTAAATGCGGCCATTTAAATATAGCCACATATGGTATCTGCACAGAAATTCGGTATGAAATTCGTCTCGAGC